GTTTTCATAGTCAGATATTATTGTAAGAATTAAGAATTGCCATGTGGTCCCACCTGGCAGCCCATTTGCTAATCTGATTAAAACACAGATCCTACTACGCTTCGTTTTTTATAGTTCAAAATTTCGTTTTACTTGTCTTTACCACACTAGGATCTAGAAGAGTTGTTATCATTGACGTGTTCTGGATGGTGTGAGGTATTAGCCAATGAAACAGTCTGTTACGGCGAGTTTTAGACGTGTTTTGCACGGAACTGTGGGTAATCCACTAGTAACATCGATGTCTGACATCCTGGGTCAAAAGCCGCTCATACGAACTCTGACGCGACCTACATGTATCGCTACAACCGGTCAGATCTTCATGTAGTGTAGGCCATCGAAAGTATAAAAAAACAAAACGAAATATAGATCTGTATTTTAATCAGATTGCCCATTTGCCATTACAAAATATTTTAAGTACGAAAATATTTCGCACTCATACGCAAAATAAAACCATACAAATCAATGCCTATCATTAGCAAGCAATAAACACCATTAACTTATTTTTGGTAGTCTCATTTTAAGAATCCACATAGAATTTCGTATCTGAAATGACACTTTCGGTGATCTCTCTGCAGCACGGAAATCATAGCTGACCATATCATATTATAAGGCACTGCTTACTATGAAACAAGTAAAATGGTTTCACATTATGTGTAACACGTCACGTAAGATCAATATATGACAATATATGAGTAGCTTTGTTGATCACCCTGTATCAGCTGTTCAAATTACTTAATCCGTTAAAATCACACAATCCATTCAGTATGTCGTTTATGCTTTGATGTTTTAAATTTATTTAATTTCTGTCATTGATATTTTCTAATATTGATTTTAAACTGATAACATAAGCTCAGTCTTTTGACAAATACAGTTTTCCAATTTCCAAACCAGATTAATACGTTAAATCGTTTCTTAAATATGGCAACGTCACCCCTACAATATCCCAATTAATAACCCCGTTTTGTTTCCAATAATTATCACAGACACAAATATTAATTTTCATTGTTTTACATTATACATCATCACCAGTGATGGGATTTCCAAATTTTTCTTGTCGGACATTTTACCGAAAATAAGGGGGCATAACTCTTATCATTATTTAAGCAGACGGATTCATACCACAATTAAAAATCAAATCTCAACAAAATATTCAAACACGGAACGTAATAAAAATAGGTGAACCTTGCTATTTTTCATATCTAATTCCAGTACAGAATTCAAATTTATGTCAGTAAACATTCCTACAAAATAACTAATTTTCATAATACATTGAATGAAAGCTTGCCAATCCTGCTTTAGCATCAAATTCACAATAGTAGGCCTAATACTAATATTCCTGCAAAATTACGTGTCTTCGTTTATACGGCAGCAAATGAATACAGAATTTCCTAAAATGTCAACAAAATATTCAAATCCGTGCATAATAAAAATAGGAACACTTCGCTATTTTTCATACTTAGTTCCCGTATGGTGTTCAAATTTATGCCAGTAATATTCCTATAAAATTACGTGTTTTCATAATACGATAGAATGAAAGCTTGCCGAACCGTACCTACTTGTAAAACAGCATAGCTTCATTCTGCATATGGTGTACGTGACTCATAGCTTCATCGTAAGCAATTTTCACTCAGCAATCGGGATCGCGGGAAAGTGTCACTGTTGATGAGAATTTCTTTATGGAATCTTAAAAGACGTAAAAGATATCGCAGATAAAATTACTGTCTTACGATATGTGACATGTTTATACATGCTGTCGGTTGGTACATGCTGTGATTAAAATTTCCGACAAGTCAATGTAGAAACCACAAGGTAAACACGTAGATTAAAATTATAATCACTCTTATTGGATTGATGAATAGTCCGACACAGGGGAAGCAATTTTAGGATTCATGTACACAATTGGCAGCTTATTTTTTGTTGAAGCCAATCACATGCAATTTACTTGGTGTTCTGCATTAACTATGTTAATTCATTTGTGATTTAAAGAAGATATATTACCTGGATGTGATTTACCGATTCTCGATTGTATAATTACCCGGGATGTGATTTATTGATGTATATGTCAATGTTGGAATTACTATTTTTAATGGATAATGGATAAAAATACTACTACCACTGTAAGGTGAGCATCTATGGGTGTGGATTGTTTTTTATATTCACTTTTTTTATTTGTACTTCATATGTAAATAATTGTAATCAAAATGAACCTAAACAGATCGTATAAACGCCTCGCGGGAAATTAAAAGGTTCATCTAATAGTTAAACACCGTAGGTAAATGAACCGTGTGTTGATTTATACACGTATCTCGGGAAATTAAAAGGCTCGTCTAATAAGTAAACGTGGTAGATAAGTGAACAGGTCTTCCATTTATAAACGCCTCTCGGAGAAACTAAACCGGTTACCATTAAACTAAGCCATAATACTAACTAAACCATTTTTGTAATTAAAAAACGACTGTTAATGAACAAACCGGTTACCATTAAACTAAGCCATAATACTAACTAAACCATTTTTGTAATTAAAAAACGACTGTTAATGAACAATGTTTTGAAAGTAAACTAAACTTTCTAGCACTAAAACAACCGTTTTAACCGATACCATTCTTACAGCGTAAGGTTTCATTTATAAACGCCTCTCGGAGAAACTAAACTGGTTACCATTAAACTAAGCCATAGTACTAACTAAACCATTTTTGTAATTCTCAAACGACTTATCAATTAAAGTAAACTATATGCATACTTTCTAGTGCTAAAACCCCCGTTTTAAACGATACCATTCCTACAGTGCAAGGTTTCGTAGTTTATCGGTAGTGTATGACTTTCACAAAGTATTTCACTCTTTTCCTATGTTAAGGGGGCAACTTAAAACAATTCCACCAAACGAATGTTTGAATATATTATAATCAGTAATAGATTTACATGAACACATGTTTCGACGAAACTAAGGAAATCTTTATCCGTTTATATCCAAGGAGTAATGCACCTCAAGTATAAAACTCGTTTCCTCAACGAATGAATACATATCAAATAAGTCCCCTAATTTGTTGAATATATATTACACATGGCATGGTAATTCTGCATGCCTTGATGACCTTGAAACTGTTCATTGCCTTGAACGGGACTTATTTAATTCCTAGAGTCAAACTGAAATACAATATAATCGTTACACCTTTAGAAAATAAATTTGCAAAGAACTATATGTAAGAAAATCAATTGGCTGTTACAGATTTGGCGGGTCTCGAGGCATACCTGTAACCGGGATTTAAAGATACATTTTAAGTTTCATCAAAATCAGACAAAAATTATGGCAATCAAGGGCCATAATTCAGGAAGTTACGATCCCATATGCACCAAGATCTGTGGGTTATAAACATGAATTTCAAGTTTTATCAAAATCGGACCAAAATTGTGACCTCTAGCACTAATTTCTTTCACATTCGTTTAATATCCAATCTTTGTTTAAAAATTTGTAAAAACTGTTTAAAATCACTATTAATCGTTTAATTTGTACTTCTGTCCAATTTAAAGCTGACCATTCAATTTTGATCATGAGTGTCCAATTTACAAGTGTTTAATTTCTTGATCAATGTTAAAATATAAACAACCCAATTAATTTCTGATGTATAATGATTCATTTTTGAACAGTGGTCAGGAAATTAAATACTTATCAAAATTAATCAGTCAGCTTTAAACTAAACACAAGTACAAATTAGATGATTTTTGGTGATTTTAAACAATTTGTACAAATTCTTAAACAAAGATTTGATATTAAACGAATGTGAAAGAAATTAGTGCTAGATACACAAGATTAAGTGATACCTGGGTTACAGTGTCACGTAATAACCTACAAATGTCGGCACTAATTTCGATTGAGTACAAGCCCAGCTTGTGAGCCTATCAGATTCCTTGATCGTCGCGAATACCAAGTCTCGCGCTTAAAAGCTAAAATGTCTACCTGTGACCAGAGCTGTGACAATCGAGTTGCAAAGTTCAAGGTTCATTCAATGTCAAGGTTTCCGCGGAGGTCGCGATGTCACAACCTCTGATTGAACGCTACTGCTCGCGTGTCTGTAGATGACATAGCTATAAGTTCGGGAATTGTGAAGTAAACAAGCAACGGCCATCAGGAACATGCTAATGACCATGAAGTTATGGTCCACTACATGCCAATATTGAAAGGAACTGTGATCTGCCTATATTTCAAGTTTCGTTAAAATTGAATAAAAATTGTGATTTGTAGAGTTGTGGATGGACTTTGAGACAGATGGACAGGGGCGACGGTATAATACGTCCACATGGAAATGTGGGAGTAAAAACATGATTTTTCGTACAATCAGGGGCCACAATTCAGGAAGTTATGATCCGATATGTGTGAATATCAAAAGGAACCAAGATCTTTGTGTTATAAACATATATTTCAAGTTTCATCAAAATTAGATAAAAATTGTGGCCCCTGGAGCGTCCGCAACCTTGATATACCATATATTTACACTATTTGCGTATGAGGGGCGTTTTTTTTTTTTTAAATCAGATAATTGTGACCTCAAGAGGGACAACAAGCTAAAAATGCGATTTTTTGTACAATCAGGGGCCATAATTCAGGAAGTTACGATCCGATATGCTCAAATATTGAAAGGAACCAAGATCTTTGGGCTATAAACATGCATTTCAAGTTTCATCAAAATCAGATGAAATTTTTTATCTCTGGAGTGTCCAAGCTAAAAATGTGATTTTTCGTACAATCAGGGGCTATAATCCATGAAGTTATGGTCCAATACATGTCAATATGGAAAGAAACCAAGATCTTTGGAAGATAGACCAATATTTCATGTTTTGTCAAAATCGCATAAAAATTGACCCGACGGACAAGGGTGACGACATAATACGTCCACATGAAAATGTGGGCGTATAAAAAAAGTAACATATCTTGATTCAAAGTAAAATTCCAAGATAAAATTTACCTTTTAGCTTGTCTTGGCCATGTACCATCATCATTTTTTTCTTCTATTACAATCACCTGACCTGGGTATAAACCAGAATCTTGTAGTGAGTTCTCCATTTTACTCAAATGTTCATAAGTATTACTCATATAACGATTCCACAACCTAACCTCTTTATCTTCCTTTATACTAAACACTTCTCTCATTTTCTTCTCTAATTGTGCTACAAATATATATATATATAATAACTCTTAATTTTTAATTATCTATAAACATGCCTGGTTGATACCTTGTATCATCAAACACAAAGTGGAATGAATGTAACAAAATATTCTCAAGTGTGGGATTTGCTTTTAATTTAAATAGTATGATTTGAGAATTGGATTAATTAAACATACATTATGCAAGAGCGAAATCTGCCTATTGCAGGTCTTTCTTTAGCCTGAAATGTTATCTAAATCATTAATTAACTTATCCAAACCATAATCAACTATCAATGTCATCGCTAGCCTGCGATATTTACTGGATTATGATCCGATTTGCTGCTCGACTTTCGTTCATGATTTAATCATGAAATGGATAATCGCAGCTGTGTTTTTTATCGTACCAACTTTAGTAATGCTGATCGAGGCTAGGCCGAAAATTCAATTGCTAAATTCTCATTTAGAGTGGATCAATTTGACTGAAATTTTCAGCAAATTCCCTTTACATTATCTAGTTTTCAACTGCAAGCTCTTTTATCTAATCTCCCATAATGTATCTTTAATCTATCTGGTTAATTTTTAATAAACAGCAATAAAAAGGAAAATCTAATTTGTTGCCAAAGGTTGTCAGATTGTTATACTTCAACCTGTTGTAAACGAGTATTCAAATAAATTATTGTCAAACAAGCCAACAGTGAGGCTGATGTCCCCTGCCGAAATCTCAAAATAAATAGATGATACATGTCAAATAATTGCAAATTTACTTTTTTCAAAAGAATAGAGCAATCAAAGTAAATATCATGATTAGTTTAAGGTTTTGAAATACCTGGTAGTGGAACTATACACTAAGTTTGATCACTCTCCATAAGATAGAATCAAAGTTACCTTGTCCCAAAGCATCGGCCAATGAAATTGTTTAGCTCTGCTTAGCTTTCGCAGGAAATGTTAATCATTGAACTCAGTCAAAACATTCATCTAAGAACATCTAAGTCAAATTTAAACATTCTATCTCAATTAAAAGCAGAGCTGTTACATCCCAAACTCTTGACTTATCAAATTACATATCGCTACTTAGCCTAAGCAGAAAATTCTCATCATTGAACATAGTCAATGTATTGATATAATGAATCTATACATTGCTCTCACCAATTTAGAACAACGTCATAGTGTTCCAAAGTCTAAACTAATCAAATTGCTAACCTCTGCTTAGCCGTAGTGCAAAATGCCCATGACCGAATTGTCAAAGCAATCACATTATAGACACCAACAGCAAGTTTGAAAATTCTACCTCAATTAGAGGGAGAGTTATTGTGTTCCAAAGTCTCGACCAATCAGATTGAAGTCTCTACTTTGCCTAAGCAGAAAATACTCATCATCGAACTTGTTACGGTAATGATGTAATGAAACTATGAACAGGAAGTTTCACCAATATCACTCAATTAAAATCAAAGTTATCGTGTCCCAAAGCATCAACCTATCAAATTGCTTATCCCTGCTTACCCTAAGCAGGAAATGCTCATCTTCAAACTCCATCAAGGCATTCACCTAATAAACACCTACACCAAATTTGAACATTCTAGGTCAATTTGAAGGAAAGTTATTGTTCCAAAAAGTGTCAAGGACAGACAGTCGGACAGACAGACCCATTTTAATAGTCCCGTGCTTTCTTCGAAAGGCGGGGAACAAAAAGAGATGAGGTTACAGAGTCAAGATAAGGCTTGAGTTGACCTACATACCAGTTGTCATATACTCAACATAAAAATAGAATCGAACAAAAATATTTCACAAATAACATTAAAAATCATGTCAAGATATAGCTGATAAGTTAAATTCTAACTTGAAAAATTATTTTTAATGAGGCAAATTCTAAAATCAATAATTCTTTCAAATTCATCTAAAATATTTAACATAATTTAAAATAAGTATTAATAAGCAAAAGATTAATATGCAAATAAATTTAAATATAAAAGTTAAAATAGAGGAAAAATGAAATTAATATATTATTTAAGATAAAATACATTATTAAAAGGAAAGTCTGAATATAAGAATCATGTTTTGTCCTATCAAGTCCTCCATGAGGGATAACAATCTCAATTCCCATAACAATAAATTAAGATATTAATTTAAATGTGTGAATAAAATATTGTCTCATATAACATCTCAGCACTATTCTACAGAAAACAATTGCAGAAAAAGGACCACTAAAGAATGCTGAAAAGAAAAATTATAATGATATCTTTACATGCAAATTACCTTTGTCACTTTAATTACAAAATAAACACCCATGTATATATTTTTAAAAAGGGCCAAAAATGAAATAAAAACCTAAACAGATCTGTACCTAGACAAGTAGATCGACTTAAAGAGGATGTTATTTCTTGTTCAACTTGACTGTATTGAGAAAGTTTAACTGTCCATAAATATACTTCAATTTTGAGCTGTTTACTATAGCAACCATCCTCAATAACCTCCCTCCCTATGGCAGTCTGAAAGGACAAAACATGCAAAGCCATTCATGCAGGCATTTTAACTATGGCAAAGCTGTGTCACCTTATTTGCTAAGTCGGTATATACTAACGGTAGATCGATATCACATTTAAATTAATAGATACCCTAAAATATACAGCATGTGTTAATACATGTAGTGCATTCCTGGAAAAAAAAGGTACCTTGGTTTTCTAAAATATACACAAAAAATTACATAAATGGTATTTAATAACCACCTTTAGAACACCAACTTAACAAATAATAGACACCAAAAAAAAAGAAATTATTGTGTGCTAGAAATTATTGCTTTCTGAGAGATGTGAAATAGATTTGCATTAAACATTACAATATTTGTTACAGATCATGTGAGAGTCAAGTAACAGTTGAACAGTTTGAATGAAAAAAAGAAGTAATTTTTGCTACTATTAACAGCAGATTATATGTACATCATACATGTAACTGTTGTTGCATAATAGTGTCCTGAAGAATTTTGTCAACACAGATAGAAATACAACTATGTAGTTTAACTTATTAAATCCATTTTCAGAAGCAAGAATTTCACAACACATAAATTTATAGTTTGATGATATAAAGTTATGCATGGAAAGAAGTTCTAAATGCCTGTGCATGTACATGAGTAGATAATTCATACAAACTTTACCCAATTCAAACCATTGATATGTAATATTAATTCTTTATATTTTTAAATGACACAATGTTTTTGTTCTTTTTACTACAAATGAGTGTTGCAAGGATTTTTTCTTCAAATGTATACTAGGGATATTTTACTACATGATATAATGTATTACCTATTCATGTACCTACAAATGATAACCAGTTTAATATTTAATAATCCATATTCAAATCTAGTCAAGCCACCACATGCTACATAAAATATCACAAAAAACTTCACTTGTTTTTCATCTTGTAATGGACACTGACTCATAAAAATTCTTACTGATGCAGAAAAAAATATTTTAAACATGATTTTCAATTAACACATAAATAGAATTTATATTGATGAGAAAGCCTTGTGGATTATTTTTAACCCTGTGTGATTTGTGCAGTTATTACAATACAGGTAATATAATGTGAGGTTTTCTTTGATGAATAACTGTCAATGACCATAAGTATTCAGGAAAAACAAGTTAAGCCAGCTATAGTAGTAGTACAGAATATATGTTTTGGGAATCAAGGGCTACCTATAGTGGATGAACGACTAAATTGTTTGGCAGTAGTTTTATCCAAATTGGAATTTTCACACAGCTTTAATTCCAATAAATACACCTCCACTTTGCAGTGTTTTACGAACATTCCTTGTTCTATAACACCTCGACAGATCGGTTCCTTAAAAACATAAATCATTAGCTATTTAATATGTCAAAAAATTTCCTCCTTATTATGTACCCATTATTCTTCTTTAGTACGTATTCATTTTATTGCTACTGATACATGCACATAGTCTAAATTAGCTTCAGTAATAATATTATATACAAAAGGCATATGGTAATAAAAACACATTGAAATGATCTTCATAAGGATCTCCTCCAGTCATTAACTATCATTTTCCATGATTAAATTTACTCATTTGCTCAGTCAAGGTCCATATGACCAAACCCTCCTTCACATGGTGAAAATTTAAAATATGACGTTTTTCGTATGTGTGCAACAAGCAAAAATTGGGGATTAAAATAATCTATTAACTGTCAAAATTAGGTGATAACCAGGCCTTCACGTGAATAAATTCCTGGGAAGTCAAATAAAGCTCTCCTGAAATTGGAAAGATAGTTGTACGGGCAGTCAACAAGAGATGTTGCATATTTATATTTTTTTTTGTTTACAGAAAATTTTTAAATTTGTCAGGCTTTTTTGTTTTACTAATTTTTAAATCATGCATATAGGTATCATACAGATCGGATGATAACTTTTGTCATTCAAACATTTACAAGGTTCACATAGTAAAACAAGGCCCACCATAACTCTAGAAATAATTGACGGAAAATGCGTTCAATAAAGTGAAACAAGGGCCATAACTCTAGACGTAATAAACAGAAATTGCTGAAATTAAATAGGCTTCTTCATCTCACTAATGTCAACAACATATATGAATTTTAAAACCACAGGATCATAACTTTTAGCGTTACAGCGTTCACAAGAAATTGTTGATGGCGGACAGACGTACAGACCAACCGACAGACGGATGGACGTGGGTGACGGCAATATATACGTCCCAAAAAATTAGTTAGTGAACGGCCCCGCCCGTCCAGAAAATTCTATCTGATCCAAACAAATTTTTTATTTTTTATTTTAAAAATTTACCCTCTTACGATGTTTAAAACCAATGGTAAAAGTCCCAAAATGTAGCTAGGCTACGAAATTCCTAAGCTAGTGCGATCCGTGGCGCAAGAGTTAATGAAGCGGATATAATTATTGACACATGTTTCAATACTCTTAAAATGCGTAGGACTGTATGACATACACAAATAGCAACCTGTTATTGACAGCAATGGCCGACATTTTCGTTCGCGCGTCTACAGCACCATTAAATACAATACAACCTGGAACTATGTTTTAAGAATATGTCTCGCCGATTTTGCTCTCTCGAATAAATGTATCAACAGATTTTCGGAATCTCGGAGATACCGTACATTGTGAGAGGATATAATCGCCATGGTGACATGAATGAGGAAATCGACCGATGCCACGTTGTTTTGTTTTTTTACCGGTTTCTTCTGGTGGTCTTAATTAACTAACTACAATATTATGAAATCAGTCCAAAGACATGATATAATAGGAATTGAAAATCCTGGAACATTTAACCAGCCAGTCCCATCTATAAGTGTTCAGTTAAATCTCTTTTTAATCTGCCCCCGAGTTCACAAAGCATTCTCAGGCTTAATTTAAGAATTTACTCAACTTTCAATCACGGTTTATGAGAAATGTCTTTGATCCAGAAAAACGAAACTTTGCATATAGTTTCTTATTGATGTATTTGATACATTAAAACACCAAAAGTTTCATAAAGGATTATATTTTAATTGAAATAAGAAACAATTTTGAGTAAATTCTTAACTTCAGTCTGAGAAAATGCATTGTGAATTTGGGGCCTGATTGAATCCAAGCCGGAATATCTGAAGTTTAAATAATTAATCTGAACAATGCAAATGATGATCAGCGGCTTTATAAAAAGATGACTTATGTTTTCACATGAGATAAAAGCTTAATATTCCTGAAGTGTTGCTTGTTCTGTATATTCATCCAAAACTTCCTCCCTTCAAGATTTTTGGAAAAAAAAAGGACGATCACCAATATTTATTTTTTTAAGGGGCCTAACAAGTTGCCAAGAATTATTTGTGAAGTCTGTTTTTTATCAAAGGGAATGGAAGCTTGCAATGACCCTTTTTCCTACAGAGACCTAATTCACCTAATGAATGCCTACACCAAGTTTGAACATTCTATCTCAACTAGAAGGAGAGTTATTGTGTTCCAAAGTCTGGACCAATGAAATTGCTTATCGCTCTGCTTACCCTAAGCAGAAAATGCTTATTATGGAACTTGATGTGATAAAACTATACATCAAGTGTCCTCACTCTCACTTAATTAGAACTAAAGTTATTGTGTCCCAAAGCATCAACCAATCAAATTGCTTATTTCTGCTTATCTTAAGCAGAAAATTCTCATCTTCTAACTCCGAACTCCATCAAGGCATTCACCTAATAAACATCTACACCAAGAGTAAACATTCTAGCTCAATTAGAATGAGAGTTATTGTGTTCCAAAGTCTTGACCAATCAAATTGCTTATCGCTCTGTTTACCCCAAGCAGAAAATGCTCATTAGCAAACTTAGTCAAGGTATTGATGTAATAAAACTATAAACAAAATTTCTTCACTCTCACTTAATTAGAACTAAAGTTATCGTGTCCCAAGGCATCAACCTATCAAATTGCTTATCTCTGCTCACCCTAAGCAGAAAATGCTCATCTTCGAACTCCATAAAGGCATTCAACATAATAAACACCTACACCAAAGTTGAACATTCTAGCTCAATTAGAAGGAGAGTCATTGTGTTCCAAAGTCTCGGCCAATCAAATTGCTTATCGCTTTGCTAACCCTGAGCAGAAAATGTTCATTATCGAACTTAGTCAAGGTAATGATGTAATGAAACTATACCAAGTTTCATCACTCTCACTTAATTAGAACTAAAGTTATCATGTCCCAAAGCATCAACGAATCAAATTGCTTATCTCTGCTTACCCTAAGCAGAAAATGCTCATCTTCAAACTCCATCAAGGCATTGACCTAATAAGAACCTACACCAAGTTTGAACATTCTAGCTCAATTAGAAGGAGAGTTATTGTGTCCCAAAATGTGTGACGGACGGACGGACGGACGGACGGACAGACGAAACCATAATCAAGACTCTGCTATGAACAAACATCATGGCGACCTGGCCGTTATCATCGGGTACCGCATTGTATTGGATCCCGAGTGTATATGACAAGACTTTTATCTTAAAAATTGTAGATTTTTTTATCATATTTTGTCAAGTATTTTTTTTCGCGTACACAAATACAAACGGCATACAATGATTTTCAGTGTCAATTAATCTGGTTCTAATTATGTTTTGTGGTACTGTCATAAGTATCAAATTTATAGCGTTTTGTTAGAGTATTATATCAAGTTATCAAAGTAACAGTTGCGATCAGGTGACAACCCTAACTAAAATTACTTCATAAAATTTCCCACAGCTGTGCCATATATAGCCTTCTATAATAAGGACACTATTTTAAAAAGTGAGCATGTTTCAATGAAATACTAAATTATAACGGTAACACTTTTTAAATCAAAATCTAGCATCGCTGAATAATTGACCTATACTTCCATGATATTGAAAGGCTATGACCTAAATGTATGTATTTCACTCTTTACATCTGTTGCCAGGCAACAAAACATATGCCCACAGCAGCTTAATCGTCCAAGTGGTCAACAAATGCTGTCGAATATCTATTCTTTTGTTGGTAACAGGGTCTTTACAAGACAATTTCATATAGATCAGATTATAATTTCCATCTTTTGAGGGTTTACAAGGTTCTACAAAATGAAACAAGGGCTTTAACTCTGGAAGTAATTAAAAGAAATTGTTGAAAATCAATAGGCTTCTTCGTTTCAGTAATTTAAATGATGCATATAAATTTCATACAGATCAGATAACTTTTGTCATTCGAGCATTCACAAGGTTCAAGAGGATAAACAAGGGCCACTCTTTTAAATTATGCATATAAATTCCATACAGATCGGATGATAACTTTTGTTGTTTGAGCGTTTACAAGGCGGTGTTGAATTGGAACTATGTTTCTTGTCACCCAAGCGCTTAGGATCGGAAGGTCTATTTTTGGCCGCATTGCTTTTTGACACAAAAGATTTTGAAGTTTTATTTGAATGTTTCCGTCATTTTGACCAATTATTTTAGAAATAATTTACCTCGTAATGTCTCGTTTATCAACTTTATGGCTCCATTCAACAGATTTAAAAAATGGCCTTCGATAATTTCAGAATTGAAAAAATGGCCTTGATGTTGAACAAAATGGCCTTAGAAAGGCTTCCCTGTAGAAGGCCATTTTTTGAAATATGGCAGATACCCGTGGGTGAATCTTGAGTCCAGGAGACATGCCAATATCAAAAGAATCTGGGCGCATAAAAAGATTGTATGCTGATAAAAGTAGTCTGTAAAATGGTCTCAAGAAAATGTGAATGACGGTCATACATGTGTGGACAGGAACAATGGTAATACAAAAAGACAATAGATAAGTGCATTTATGTACCTGTCCTGGAATTATACCATACCAACTAAGTAATCTATTCCATGCATCGCCTGGTAATAACATGTAATCTAAATCTTCACTTAAATGTTCCTGCAACTGACCATCTCCTATAATAAAGTAAGAAAGGTTGCCAGGCAACAAAAAATACACCCAAAAAAGCTAAACCGTAGGAGCAGTCAACAAGGGTTGTCAGTGACAACTTGTCACATATTTAATATTTGTAAGTAAGGGGAGGGGGGGTGGGCTTTTACAAGGCAATTTCATACAGATCAAATTATAATTTTCATCCTTTAGGGGTTCACAAGGTGCTACGAGCTGAAACAAGGGAAGAAATATACAATAATTGTTGAAATTCAACAGCCTTCTTCATTTTACTAATTTAAATAATGCAACCAGTGGCGGCCAGCCAGGATACGCCCACATTTTGCAAGAGATGGATAGAGAACAAGCTAAACAAAAAGCGATTTTTCGTACAATCAGGGGCCATAATTCAGGAAGTTACGCGCAAATATCGAAAGGAACCAAGATCTTTGGGTTATAAACTTTCATTTCAAGTTACATCAAAATCAGAAGAAAATTGTCCCCTCTAGAGGGTCCACAACCTTGTTATACCATATTTTTACGCCATTTGAGTACGAGGGGTGGCCATTTTGTCTAGTCAGTTTTGGTCCGATTTTCTCGAAATTCGAACTCAACCATCCTTAGGGTGTAAAGGTGATATATTCAAACGTTTTTTTTTTTTTAAATCAGATAATGATTGTGACCTCTAGAGGGACATCAAGCTAAAAACGTGATTGTCCGTAAAATCAGGGGCCATAATTCAGGAAGTTACGGTCCGATATGTGCGAATATCGAAAGGAACCAAGATCTTTGGGTTATCAAAATTAGACGAAAATTGTGAACTCTAGAGAGTCCACAACCTTGATATATCATATTTTTTTACACTATTTGAATACGAGGGGCATCCATTTTGTCCATAAGTTTCGGTCCGATTTTTACGAAATTCGAACTCAACCATCCTTAGGCTGTAACGGTGATATATTCAAACATTTTTTTAAATCGGATAAAAATTGTGACCTCTATAGGGTCCACAAGCTAAAAATGTGATTTTTCGTACAATCAGGGGACATAATTCAGGAATTTACGATCCGATATGTGCGAATATCGAAAGGAACCGAGTTCTTTGGGTTATAAACTTATATTTCAAGTTTCAACAAAATCAGATAAAAATTGTGACCTCTATGAGGTCCACAACCTTGATATACGAAATGTTTACGCTGTTTGCGCACAAGGGGCGACCATTTTGTCCGACAGTTTTGGTCCGATTTTCACGAAATTCGAACTCAACCATCATTAGGGTGTAACAGTGATATACTAAACCATCATTAGGGTGTAACGGTGATATACTAAACCTTTCTTTTTTAAATCGGATAAAAATTGTGACCTCTAGAGGAACCACAAGCTAAAATCGCAATTTTTCATACAATCAGGAGCCATAATTCAGGAAGATACCATCAGATATGCACGAATATTGAAATGAACCAAGATCTTTGGGTTATAAATATGCATACCATGTTTCATCAAAATCGGATGAAAATTGTGACCTCTAGAGGGTCCACAACCTTGATATATCATATTTTTACACTATTTGCGTACAAGGGGCAGCCATTTTGTCCGAAAAAATTTGGTCCAATTTTCACGAAATTTGAATTCAACCTTCATTAGGGTGTAACATTTATATATTCAAACGTTTTTTAAAATCGGATAAAAATTGTGAACACTAGAGTAGAGGAACCACAATCTAAAAACGCAATTTTTGCGCACAATCAGGGGCCATACTACAGGAAGTTACAATTCAATATGCGCGAGTATCGACAGGAACCAAGATCTTTGGGATATAAATATGCACTTCAAATTTCATCAAAATAGGATCAAAATTGTTACCTCTAGGGTGTCCACAAGCTAAAAATGTGATTTTTCGTACAATCATGGCCTATAATCCATGAAGTTATGGTCTGATACATGCCAATATCCAAAGGAACTGAGATCTTTGGGAGATAGACCTATATTTCAAGTTTGGTCAAAATTGGATAAAAAGTGTGACCTGTAGAGTGTCCACAAACAAATTGTGGATGGACGGCCTGATGGACAGGGGCGACAACAATATACATCCACATGAAAATGTGGGCGTATAAAAATGCGATTTTTTTAACAATCAGGGGTCATAATCCAGAAAGTTACGTTCAGATATGCGCGATTATCGGAAGGAACCCAAGATCTTTGTGATATAAACATAAATTTAAACTTTCATCAAAATTGGATCAAAATTTTGGCCTCTAACTCAACCATCATCAGGGTTTAACAATGATATATTGAAACGATTTTTACAATCGGATAAAAACCCTAAATCAGGATTTTTTCGTACAATCAGGTGCCATAATCCAGGAAGTTACGGTCAGATATGCGCAAATATCTAAAGGAATCAAGATCTTTGGGATATAATTTATAAACACGTTTTAAGTTTCATCAAAATACCTTGGTATTAGGCCTACATACTTTTACACTAATTGCGTACAAGAGGCAGCCATTTTGTTGGGCAGATTCAGTCAGATTTTCACGAAATTCGAATTCAACGTTCGCCAAGGTGTTACGATGATATATTTGAAGGAGTTTTAAAATCAGATAAAAATTGTGACCTGTAGAGTGTCCACAAACAGATGTCGGACAGCAGCGACGACAATAAAAGTATAAATTATTCATTTATCATATTGTTTTCTTGGTATTTATTAATTATTAGCCTGTTTACGAATCGTATTGTACTAATTGTAGCACCTGAATCGCAATACGCATCGTGTCGTGACTACAGCAGAAAACCCAGCACTAGTAGCCTAGTGCCAAAACATCAAAAACATAACTGAGCCCAATTCAGATTGCATCCACTAATTATATTCCTGATGATAGCAAATTACCTTTTAGAAGAGGACTGTTGTCAATTGGACCAGGGTTAGCACTTGCTTCACCAACACATCCAGAATCCCATTTATCATACCCTACATATTTCTTCCACTGTTTATACCATTTGGTATCCAGTAGATACCTTCAAATACAATCAGTATCAATAACAGTTTAATGTATTTATTAAACAGTCAGCACTTCTTCCATTTTTGCTGCATATTTATATACAATACCTTAAAAGTCAAGGCAACAAAACATACAAGTACAACAACATTAGTCGCAAATTTTAAATCCACAAAGGTTGTCACATTATGAATCTTTGGGAAGATGTAAATAAAGATAAGTTGTATGCAACGTAACGAAACGCAAGTACACCCACTACAGCTATGTTACTTGAGCAGTCCGCAGAGATTGCTGCATTGATTCTTTTGCAGCACCGGTAATGGCAGTATTTAATTATAGTTATATTATGATAATTCTCTTTTCTTTTAACAAACAAGAGACATAACTTATGTTCAAAAGATAAGTAATTAACAGAAATAGTTAGAATTCATAACTCTACTGCATTTTACTAATTTCAATTATAAAACAAGACCAACACTACCACTACAATATATGTCCACATTCCTGATTTGATTGATATGGTATTTTTTAAAATGAAGAGAATGAAATATGAAATGGCTGCAACAACCGTAATATGAATATGACAAACAAGGCTAGGTGTTGGGTTTGTTTTACCAAAATAAATAGTTGCTGTCTTTATGTTATAAAAAATAAATACGCCAAGTTCCAAGATGAACCATTCAGAATTGCAGCCTGAAGACAATCAACACACTAATTGGGTGTGGCTCTGACCCGGGGGGTTGGAGATGACATAATATAAATAAGTACAACCCTGCTATTGAAATGATTGATATGCTGAATTTGAACGAAATCGGTTCACAACTGCAATCTGTAGAGTATTTACAGACAAAAAATTAACAAAAATGTGGGTGTGACACAGTCATGGGAATTCGCTTGTATATTCCGGACATGTCCGACGCTATTTTCCAAACGTCCTAAATTGTTCGACAAGGAATATGCTCAACAGACATCAAGACATGGTGAATAATATTCAAAATTCCAAAATTAATATAGTGTACTGAGTGTGTACATGTAGCTACCATTCAACCTGATCATCGTTGATAATAGGCTGGATTGATTAGGTAATTAAGTGATTGATGTATTCATTTATACCGTCTATACAGCTACCATGAAACGGGTTACTTTGAACATTTTTTTTTTTTCATTCAACTTTGATTGATGTGTAAATTTCCATTCAAAATAATTTAAATTCATCAAAATACTTATAGAATTAACATTTCAACAAAATAAGAAAAAGTTTTGGTTTAAAAATATTATTTTTTTCAGTTTTCATGACAAAATATTTAGGTGTTCAATGTTGCCTCGAAAGCGGGGTTAATTTGAACGGTTCATAAAATTGCATTCAATAAATTAATGGAAAATTAATAAATCTATCAAAATGCAACAGTAAATTCATTTGTTATTGATAATCAAATGCAAGAAACATAACAAATGTTGTGAATAAATGTCTTTGGGGAGAGGTTGTACAAGTTGCCCAAAGTTAATTAAATTTTTATTTTTATTCAAAACCCTAAATACCTGTTTGAAATTTAACAAATATGTTTTATCTACATATATAAATGAAGTGTTTGTATGTTGAATGATGTATACTTAAAGACTTTTAGTATAAAGTTGACAGGCTATACATTTGACCTAGGCTTGACCTGAATAGACATGCCACACTTGCATGATGGGATTAACATCTCATCAAATGCGAATCATTTATTTATATCATCTAAGATGTATATTTATTTAAAGTAAGCATTATTTATACTATATGAATAAATAAATAGAAGATATAAAATGCTCAACCAATATATTGAAAAATGTTCAAAGTTGCCCCACTGCTCAAGGTAGCCCCAGTTGACGTTACCTTGATTAACTACTTAATCTGCCTTGATTGGCTGACTTAATCCTTTGTCGGACAATTCATCAATCCAATCCTGAATAGAAGTCATTCCTTCTCTTTTGTCGGACTATATATCAATCCAATAAGAGTGATTATAAACTTAATCTACGTAATCTATATTTTGCGAGCGGAGCGAGGCAAAAATATTTTTGGGAGGGGGGGCGTGGTCTTTTATGAAAATTAAACCCTTCTTGATGTATTTTCAGAGCATCTGCTGCCTTTTGTATTTGGTTCAGTGCAAATCAAATTTCCATTTATATATTCAAATTTTACCAAATTCACTTAATTTTCATCAATGATACAGGGATCTAAAAACTTTTTGACACCACCCGACGAGAATAAAATTGTCCCGCCCCACTCTGTTTCTCTGGATAGATAAGTTGAGGACCTTTCGGTATTTGTTTTTTTTTTTCTAATATTACTTTGAGATTAAAAATTAAAACGATTCTTAAAACGGTGTTTGTGTTTTATTTGAGAGAGAGAGAAATGGGGTTTAACGTCCACTTGACACAAACTAGGTCATTTCGGGACTAACATATGGTTTAATTTTATTTACATAATTCGCTTGCGCGTAGGGGTCTTTAGCAGTGGGAGGAAACCCGGAGGACCCGGAGAAAACCCACGAGGTTGGACAGGCGACCCTACTCCTTGCCACGTACAACCGGGGTTTCGAAACCACGCCAGTCGACTCAATGACAGACTTTCTGATACAGCGCGCGCACGCTAACCATCAGCCATCCAACCCCCCGTGTTTTATTTGAGTACAACGAATTATGACAACAGGTAGATATTGATAATTAAAACACGTTGTATTATTTGACTTGTTTGTAAAGTTGTTGTACGTGTCTCACAAATATTATTTTTATTACGGTGGAATGAGAATCAGGTCAGGCAGAAACTGAGAAAGCTCTCATCGTCCTCCTAGTCCTACTCTCGGGCCGTAGCTAATCCACGGTCAACACAGGTAAGAAATAAAATAAGAAACATCGTGAAAATTTGCAGGCACGTGTTGGACAACTACGACATTCAAACCTTTAACATTGGAGTGCCATAAATTGGTCTGGGTGACCTATTTATGGCAAATAAACAAATATAAAGACCGTAGAATAATTGTAATATGAATAGACCTACACATCTTCTAAGTATAAATAAACAAAATACCAATACATCTTTCTTTAAACTAATTTGGGATGATAGGGTCTACTACGGCACACAAAAATAAATTATGCCGTGGCAGACATGGTTTGCGTACATCGGCTTTTACCATGGCTTTGCCGTTTAATTGCCGTGGTAAATTTCGAGCGCCGAGTTTGTGTTCAGAGAAGGACGAAGGGGTTTAAATACGACTAGGCGGCTTTCTTCGATTTTTTCTTTGTCTTTGTGCTGGGCGGCTACATCTTTAAAAATGTGCCTGCAAAAAAGTTTTTTTGAAGCAAATGTGCCTGCGCATGTGCGCGGAAATATCGATGCCTGCGTATATACTTACCAAGTTCCAAGATAATCCAATAATAATTGTGGCATGTATACGATAAACACAAACATTGGCCGTGGCACTGCCCCTGGGGGTTCGGACACGGACCAAAATCAATAATTGCCGTCCTTAGGCTATAAGTTGATCCATTAAGAATTGTGGCCTGTAGGCAACAAACAGACACACAAAGAAAAGATTGGTTGCCAGGCAACAAACCATACGCCCACAGCAGCTAAATCGTCCGAGCGGTCGACAAGGGTTGTCGCATATTTATTCCATGTAGGTAATAATCAGATCAGATTATAAGTTGTTTGAGGGTTGACAAGGTTCTACAAACTGAAACAAGGGTCTCAACTCTGGAAGTAATCTACAGAAATTGCTGAAATTTGACAGGGTTTTTTGTTTTACTAATTTAAAACATGCATATAAATTTCATACAGATCACATGATCACTTTTGTCATTCAAACGTTCACAATCGCCATAACTCTAGAAATTATTGTCGGAAATTGCTGAAATTCAATAGACCTGTTTCACAAATTTAAATGATGCATAAAAATTTCATACATATCGGATGATAACAAGGGCCATAACTCTAGACGTAATAAACGGAAATCGCTGAAATTCAATAGGCTTCTTCGTGTCACTAATTTAAATAATGCATATAAATTTCAGAAAGATAGGATGATAACTTTTGGGGTTAGAGCATTCACAAGGTTAAACAAAGTGAAACAAGGGCCATAACTCTAGCCATAATAAACGGAAATTATTCAAATTAAATAGGCTTCTTCATCTCACTAATGTAAACAACATATATCAATTTTTTTAAAACAACATATATCAATTTTAAAGCAACTGGATGATAACTTTTGGCGTTAGAGCGTTCACAAAAAATTGTGGGCGATGGACGGACGGACGGGGGGCGACGGCAATATACGTCCACATCAGATGACGTTTGCGGTTGAAAAGAACGTAATTAGCGGAAATTGATGAAATTTGATAGGCTTTTTTTGTTTCACTACTTTGGATGATAGTAAGTGCCATCACAATATTTCACAAAGTAAACATGGCCATAACTCAAGAAGTAATTAACATGAATGAAATGTTGAAATTCTATACGATTTTTCCTTCACTAATTTCATGCATGAAACAGGAATAGGATGATAACTTTGATCTTTAGAGTGTTCACAAGATTCTACAAAGTGATAATGGGCAATAACTCTCAGTTATAATCAGAAATTAAAAATTTCAAAAAGATCAGATGATAAATGTAATCTGTAATGGGTTCATATGAAATTGTAGACGATGAACCGGCAGGGGTCACAACAATATACAACTATATTTCCACATGAGCTTATCAATAAGTTATAATGATCTAAGTTGTTGTGCCGACTGTATACTGTACCAAACTCTTCCAAATAGTACTGTAACCATACATGTATTGATGTTCAGTATCATAGAATCTTGTTAAACCGGTTTCTTACCATCATTTCAGTGTCAGTAGTTACATATACCTGTATGGTAACATTCCTACTATTTTCAAAGCAAGACCATAAATATACACAAGATATGTTGCCAGACAACTAAATCAACTGGGTAGTCACTAGCCAGAAAGGGTTGTCGCATATTTATTATTAAAATACAGATGTGTCATCAAACTTCGATGTTGGCGTATCATTATTCAATAAAGTGAAACAAGGGCCATAACTCTAGATGTAATAAACGGAAATTGCTGAAATTCAAAAGGCTTCTTCGTTTCACTAATTTAAATAATGCATAAATTTCAGAAAGATCGGATGATAACTTTTGGCGTTGGAGCGTTCACAAGGTTCAATAAAGTGAAACAAGAGCCATAACTCTAGACGTAATAAACGGAAATTGCTGAAATTCAATAGGCTTCTTCCTTTTACTAATTTAAATAATGCAAATAAATTTCAGAAAGATCGAATGATAACTTTTGACATTAGAGCGTTCACTAATTTAAATAATGTGAAACAAGGGCCATAACTCTAGGCGTAATAAACGGAAACTGCTGAAATTCAATAGTCTTCTTCGATTCACTAACTTAAATAATGCAAATAAATTTCACAAAGATGGGATGATAACTTACAGCGTTAGAGCCTTCACAAGGTCCAACAAAGTGATATACATGTAAGGGCCATAACTCTAGACATAATAAACGGAAATTATTGAAATTAAATAGATTTCTTCATCTCACCAATGAGAACAATATATACGAACTTTTGGCGTTAGAGCGTTCACAAGAAATTGTGGACGACGGACAGACGGACAAGTGGATGGATGGACGGGGACGACAGCAATACACGTCCACATTTCCAAGTGGGCGTATAAAACGGGACTGAAAATCGAACCAGCGGCTGCCAGGCAAGATATTCCCACATTTTGCAAGAGATGGATAGAGAACAAGTTAAAAACCAAAGCAATTTTTTGTACAATCAGGGGCCATAATCCAGAAAGCTATGGTCTAAAATCCGTAAATATCAAAGATAGGTTGCCAGGCAACAAAACATACGTCCACAGCAGCTAAATAGTCCGAGCAGTCGACAAGGGTTGTCACATATTTATTCTTTTGTAGGTAATTAGGGGAATTAAATAGACAATTTCATACGGATGACATTATAATTTTCGTTGTTGAGGGTTCACAAGGCTTTTTAGTTTTACTAATTCAAATAATGCATATAAATTTCATACAGATCGGATGATAACTTTTGTCGTTCGAACGTTCACAAAGTTCAACAAAGTACATCAAGGGCCATAACTGTAGACGTAATTGACGGAAATTGCTGACATTCAATAGGCTTCTTCATTTTACTAATTTAAATGATGCATATGAATTTCATACAGATTAGGTGATAACTTTTGTCATTCAAGCGTTCACAAGATTCAACAAAATTAAACAAGGGCCATAACTCTAGATGTAATTAACGGAAATTTGCTGAAACTCAATAGGCTTGTTCGTTTTACTAATTTAAATGATACATATAAATTTCATACATATCGGATAATAACTTTTGTCGTTAAAGCATTTACAAGGTACAACAAAGTGAAACAAGGGCCTAACTCACGGCGTAATTAACGGAAATTGCTGAAATTCAATAGGCTTCTTCGTTTCACTAATTTAAATGACGCATATCTGATATGCATCATTATATCAATTTAAAACAGATTGGATGATAACTGTTGTCATTAGAGCATTCAAAAGCGAAACAAGGGCCATAACTCTAGATGTAATTAACGGAAATTGCTGAAATTCATTGGCTTCTTTGTTATACTAATTTAAATGATGCATATAAATTTCATACAGATCAGTTGATAACTTTTGTCATAAGAGCATTCACAAGGCTCAACAAAGTGAAACAAGGGCCTTAACTCACAGCGTAATTAACGGAAATTTCTGAAATTCAATAGGCTTCTTCGTTTCACTAATCTAAATGATGCATATCAATTTCAATTAGATTGGATGATAACTGTTGTCATTAGAGCGTTCACAAGATTTAACAAAGTGAAACAAGGGCCATAACTCTAGATGTAATTAACGGATATTGTTGAAATTCAATAGGCGTCTTTGTTTTACTAATTTAAATGATGCCTATAAATTTCATACAGATCGGTTGATAACTTTTGTCGTTCACAAGGTGCAACAAAGTGAAACAAGGACCATAACTCCAGAAGAAATTAACGGAAATTGCTGAAATTAGATTGGCTTCTTCATCTCACTAATGTAAACAACATCAATTTTAAAACAATTGGATGATAACTTTTGCCGTTAAAGCGTTCACAAGAAATTGTGGACGATGGACGGATGGGGCGACGGCAATATACATCCACATTTCAATGTGGGCATATAAAAATAATGCTAGGGTAAGGCTAACCTATAGTACATTATAACTATATTATTAAATATTAAAGGAGCTAAATCGCTAACATTTGGGACCTAGAAATTGACAAAAGTGGGTCGCAACGCATATAATTCTGTAATATGAATGTATATAAACTGATTTACATTCAATGGTTTCCGTTTTTACTCCAATTTCAAATCAGTTTTGTTCGGCGAAATAATCCAGCAGTCTCAAGTGAGTGCAAATTTCTAGCTTCTGGTTATTCCAGTCTACTTCCGCCGTCCCTCGAGTCTCTTGATACAACTGGGGCTGAAGCGCATTATGGTAGGGGTTTCAGGTCACGTGACTTTAACGTGAAATCGGACAGCCAGCGGCTGAAATATAGCCCACTTCAATCTAGGATTCTGAATTACTATTTTATGTAAATGCATTACTAGCAATTGTATTGCAATAGTTTAATATCAATCTCAATATCTGCAAAGATTCAGGCTAAAAAATTATCGAAATGTAAGCGAAATTACCGTTTGTTTACATGAGATGCTCGCGGGAAAATACTGCTCTGACGTCACGCGGCCTGAGATTTTCCATTGCTACGACTCATTTCATTGGTGAATCCGCAGCTTAGTTACCGGGGGATTTTGATATAGAACCAATCAAACGATAGATAACATTTTTGTGGTTATTATGGTTGTTGATACCACGTGATCGGACAAGTAGACCCGTAGAAAATGGGATTTATCTGTTTTGATGACTGAAAATTGTCAAATTTCGACTAAATATAAAAAAACTTTCTTGAGGTATCATCCAGATTATAAATATTTGACATATTATCATTCAAATTATTACGATTTTAATAAATTTTAGCTGACTAGCGATTCTGAAGGGAAAATACCGCTTATGACGTCACTCAAATATGACTGAAAAGCACTTATTTTGGTGTCAAGCCACGCGTTGACTGGTATAGAGCATTTTGATTACATTATTGACGTCGATCTCGGATTTTAAAATTCCATAACTTTGGATCTAATTAGAATATTTTGATGAAATAAAAAAAATTGGGTAGCATTTTATGTATATTTTCACAAAATATTTTTAAAAAAAATTTTTCTGTCATTTGAAACTTTGACCTGAAACCCCTAATTATGGTACACGATTCGTGTACCAATGCTAAAATGTTTATTTTGTCTTAAATAGTGGATATCAAAAGCCCATCTTTTTCCGGTAAGATCAGAACATGAATGTTGATTTAATTTGACAAATAATTCGTGTTTTCAATGTTGAAGATTTTGGATGATATTGAGTTAGAGACTTAGCTACTTTAAATAAATATAGCATAGCATTATTCTGATTGGGGGTCCGTTCAGCTGAAATGAAAACCATAGCAATTATCACAGAATCTTTGGATCCCGGAGGAATTATCACTTTCACCGATAACATAAATGTAATCAATTAAAGTTTAGAATAGAGATCTATCAATTATTTGAAGAAGTCGAAAGTAGGAGCCATGTCTAGCCAGAACTGCGGCGTGAGTCAGTTTGCTAGTTTCGGGCGGACATAAAACCAAGTCTCTTTGCACATATATGTAGTCAAAAGTTCGAAAACTTAAATACTAAGGTATAACTTATATACCTATGTACATTATCTTACCAAATATCACCCTTTTTAAGTTGCTGGTTGAGACAATTTCGAATTTCATCCTTTTGAGTTTGACACTCTGGTGGTCCACCTTCCGCCATTTTCTTTCATGAGATGTCTGAAATCCTACGAAATATGTTACACGAATTTTCATTAGTCGGTGTGTCTGACGTCAAAGGTATTGATTTCCCTGCGTTTTGTTCTAAAAATAGCTATATCGACATGCCCAATCCCAATTTACGATACGAGCATTCTTGTGGACCATCTAGATCTATTTCTTAAGACCAACTCAAGATTTCGTTACGGTCGCTGAGATGTAAAATAAGGTTAGGGCACGTGATTGTTTGGCGTGATTGTACGTTAGAGTAAGGGCTAGGTTCTGGATTAGGGTTAGGGTTGGGATTAGCGCTAACGCTGAACTTACATCTCGTGACCTGTGACCAAACTTAGAGTTGGCCTTATGAAATAGATCTACTAACCCTGCACAACGGAGTAACGGAAAAGACCGATGATTCACGACTACGACATGCCCTCCTTCTCGGAATTGCCCGGTAGGTTCCGTGAAGTTCACCGGATTTGGGACGGGTCTAAATTAAGGCCATCTGCAGATTTCATCAAAGTCACGAGATGTAAACAGGGTTAGGGCAGTGGCAGTGGATATTTGCCACATGTGGTTTAACGCGCAATCGCAATCTGCAGATTTCATCAAAGTCACGAGATGTAAACAGGGTTAGGGCAGTGGCAGTGGATATTTGCCACATGTGGTTTAACGCGCAATCGACACAAACTAGGTCATTAAGGGACTACCATATGGTTCTATTTTATTTTCAATAATTCGCTAGTGTAGGCTATATAGTGGTCTTTATAACAGTGAAATGAAACCGGAGAACCCTTATGAAAAAGTCCTATAGAAAAAGTACAAAAATGAAATGAAATGGGGTTTAACGTCCCACTGTTCTGCTCCTATCCTGGGCTAATGAAGACGGACATACGCCATACAGAGTGCTATGAGGGAAATTCTGCCCAGGCAGCGGCACTATCCCCATCTCTTATATCGAATTTCAACTGCCAAGGGATATTTTACGTGCATTCCAATGTATACATAGGACCTCGGTTTTTCGTCTCATCCGAAGGACTAGACAGCTCAGGCCCTCCGTCCTGCATCACTGACAAGGGGGAACCACGCCGGAAAATCAGAAAAAGTACAGGTTTCTATAGAAGTTTGTGGGATTCTATAGAATGCTATAAAATTCTGCAGGAAAATGAATTCATTCTGTATTTTTTTTACATGACTATAGATTCAAAAACATGTACTATGTTTTGTGTAGGATTGGTAGATGAATATTTTCCAAGCGTAATTTCCTATAGAATTCTGTAAAAAACTATTGGAAAAAAATAAACCTACAGATTCATTGGTGCTGCTATAGATTTCTATAGAACTAACTTGTATCCTCGAGTCAGTTGAGTAATCCTTCAGTTTTTTATAGCCTTTGTGCTAAAACTATAGTTTGCAATAGAACTAACTTGTATTCTCATGTCAGCTGTGATTCCTATAGATTTGGTGGTAAAAACTATAGTTTTCTATAGAACTAACTTATTGTCTCAAGTCAGTATAGTATATTCCTATAGTTTTCTATGACATTCTGTAGAAAACTAAGGGGAAAAACAATTTCTATAGATTTTGTGGAGAAAAAGATAATGCCTGAGCCTTCTGTAGTTTTCTGTAGAATTTATATGTATACTGTACTTAAACCATTTTAATAAATAGCCTACTAAAGTTTCCTACATAATATTGTAGAAACAATGTTCTATACTACAAATTTCATAAATTGACGAAGTAGTCTTTTATTCATACTATAGTTTACAATAGAATTTAGTGATGCACTTGTGTGAATTATGTAAACTTTTCCAACATAATTTTCCTGGATACCAAATGCCCAATTAAAATAAGCTTACCACGAAAAATAAAAAATAAAGTATGAAATAGTGTATATAATGTAAATGAAATAGTGATACATGTTGACACTCAAAGGAATTCCCCACCCCACCCTTCAAAAAATGCCAGTAAATGCAGATGTTCACAACAAAAATATCAGATAATAAATTATTCTACAGATAAATCAATGAAATAAAGACAAAGTTTATTTGAACAGTCTGACTGTTAGGTGATCCTGCTAGTTAGATTTTAATAGCAGATTCTGTACTCAAATTATATAATTTGTTGAAGCTACTAGGTCAACCATGCATATCTGTCGACAAACTATAATTAACAAAATGAAATGAAATGAAATGGGGTTTAACGTCCTACTGTTCTGCTCCTATACTGGGCTAATGAAGACGGGCATACGCCATACAGTGTGCTATGAGGGAAATTTTGCCCGGGCAGCGGCACTATCGCCTACTCTTATATCGAATTCCAACTGCCAAGGGATCTTTTACGTGCATTCCAATGTATACACGGGACCTCTGTTTTTCGTCTCATCCGAAGGACTAGACAGCTGTCCTTGTCAGGCCCTCCGTTCTGCACCACTGACAAGGGGAAACCACGTCGGAAAATCAGGATGAACTTTCTCGGCCAATGCGAGCCAGCGTCTTAACCAACTAGCCACCGCGGCTCCAACTATAATTAACAGCCAATGTACTCTCTTGAAATCTGTTTGGCTGTTGGCTGATTTTTAAATTAAAAAATTCAGTGTATAACAACTTAATATGTTAGTATTAACAAGAAACTGAAGAGAATGGTGTTGTTTTTTCACAGATTCAATTAAAGATAGAAAGATAAGTATACTTTATTACTTTCTTAACAATAATATTAAATTACTTTAATTAGACAAGATTTATGTGATTTTGTTAATTATTCAACTTTATTACCTATTCTTTTCCCTATATTTCAGTTTTACCAAGAAAATAACTTTTCATGGTTCTGGCTCGTGAATCATCAACCGAATTCAGATTAATCCATGAGAGAAAAAATAAGCTTATCAATTTAGAAGAATCCATGAGAGAAAAATAAGCTTATCAATTTAGAAGAAATCATTGGGCAACTATATTTATTCCCAAAATAAGATTTAATCAAAAAAAAAGTCTATATAATTCTATAGTACCCATTCCTACAGAAAACTATAGTGGCCCAATTTCCAAACTACAGAATACTACAGTATTCATTCCTATACATAACTGTAGACTTTCCCACAGAAAGTGCAATAAAAAAAAACTATAGTATTTTCCTATAGAAATTTGCCATAAATCTGTAGGAAGAAATATAGGATGTGCGCTACAGAAACTGTAGAATATTTGGGGCCATTATTTCCTACAGGTCCCCAAAATTCTGTAGAACACTATAGAATTTTATCCTATAGAAAATGGGACACGCCCCCCCCCCCCCCAAAAAAAAAACTCTATAGGTTTTCTATAGAATTCTACACTACGTACTGGTATTCTGTAGGACTTTTTGCTAAGGGCCGTGCGCAACACTGTCTGCAGAGCCCGCTAGCGGTGGTGCCGGTCTCTACTGTATGACAAGCATTGGAACGCCCACCTGTGGGCCAAACTGCACGCAGCGATCGATCTACGTCATACGTCATTATGATCACTGCCCCAAATTGCCGCCATTTAAAACGCCCACGTGATCATTTTGGGGAGGGACTTATCGGCCGGACTAACGCTTTGTGTACACAACAGAGTAAAGATAGGTTGCCAGGCAACGAAACATACGCCCACAGCAGCTAATTCGTCCGGGCAGTCAACAAGAGTCGTCACATATTTTTACTTTTTTCGGTAATGAAACATTTATAATACATTAAAATCTGATAAGTAATTATCAGAAAACCATTAGAATTTGTTGGGTTTTTATAAAGTTTTGCCCCATGCTAACGTTTAGTATAGGAAACTTTTAACATCATGGATTTAGCTGTTCAAGTCATAAAAATTCATTGAAAATCAATAAACTTGTTTGTCTCAAGACCTTACACTCTGTGTATGAATCTGAAGTCAATCGGATGATAACTTTAGCTTCTAGAGGGTCACAAGGTTTTTAAAAGTGATCAAGGGCCATAACTTTGGCAGTAATTATCGGAAACGTTGTAAATCAATATGATTCTTCGTCTCATGACCTCAAACACTCTGTATCAATTTAAAGTCAATCGGATATTAACTTTAGCCTCTAGAGCATTTACAAGATTTTTTGAAGTGATCAAGGGCCATAACTCAGGCAGTAATTATCGAAAATCACTGAAAATAAATAAACTTCTTCGTCTCATGACCTTAAACACTGTGTATAAATTTAAACTCAATCGGATATTAACTTTAGCCTCTAGAGCGTCCACAAGCAATTGTGGACGCCGGACCAACAGACGGACGGACGGACGGACGGGGGCGACGACAACATACGACCACATTTCAATGTGGGCGTATAAAAATAACCCGAGCACGCACGTGTTTTATGTAAACACGTGTCTTTAGCAAAATGTAAACTTCTGCCAATCCGGTAAAATCGATATATAATATGTACTAGTGGGTAATATTGCAATAAATTCTTTGTCATTGTAAACTGTCTTTAGAGTTTCAATCTGTTTATCTTTCAAAACAAGGTTAGATACTCCTAAATTTGTCTTCGCAAACAAAACCGCCCCTGTGAAATTAACTTTCAAGGGCGCCGCCAACTTGAATAATTAGAGGACTATTTTGTGATTCGGCTTTGATTAGTTTGACATCTTTCATACACACAGCGGCTAAATAAACATATTTAATTCCATTCAATATGACAATAGAAGAGAAATAAATACTTCTAAAAATTACTAAAAGCATACTCAGTGTTTTCGACTAAAATCGTCGATGTAGGAATTAAAATGTCGTGTAATTAGCTTAGGGCCTGTTCTCAGGCGGAGCTAGCTGTAGACAGGCAGCCTAAGTTTGGGATGCCTGTGGGCTACTCCCAGGCATAAAATGATATAAATGGTTCGACCGCATTTACCTGTCTGTAATATCACCTCGGTGGAACCGGACGTAAAATACAACAACCGACACACATTACCTACACCACACTTGCAATTATTTCTATAACCATTGCGAATCGTTGTCTTTAATATCTCACCGATAACAACATATACTATTCAAAAAA